GAGATTCAAAAGATAAGCTTGCAGAGATGGTGCTACAAAAAAAACGCGGCAGAGATCACCGATTCGAATGGAAACCGAAGTGTTGTTGGTTGCAGAGTCTTCAGTAGGAAAATAATAAATGATGAACTAACCTAGGCATATGCAACCAGCAATACTGGAACTGGACGACTTGCAGGTTGCCAAGCGTACGTCAAATAACCCAAACTACTGAAATCACACTGATTGATATATGCACACAAATAGTAATGAAGTAGCTATTACTGGAGGAAAACGTAAACAGTAGGCAAATGAAATAAGGAAACAAAATACTTTGTATATATCTTAAATGAACTTTAGGAACAACGGTACGATTAATATTGTGATGAGAGGTTTCAGCACAATATTATCTAGGTTTTTACAACACACTGTATAGCACAGCAGAAACTTGCATTGTTGCAACACGTCTGATTGCGTGGATACGTTTACCTCGTCGCTTCAATGTAATGTCCTTTACAGACTAGACTTCATGGGTTGATACTTGAATCTTGAATTGAAATAATACAAGTTATATGGTGACAACTGATTATTATTAGGTATATAATTGGAGTGCGACATAAATGTGTATTACCTGCCTGAAATCTCGGAGTTATTTTTCAGTTCTTTTCTTGAGTAATCATTGTTTTTACTCATACATATATGTATTAAAAATTCAAAATATGTGTACATGTGTATTTGCATATTGTATATAGGAAAACACAAATTAAAACTCTTTTTCAAGTATTGAAGTCTACATAGTTTTGAAGGATTACTTTCACTTTGGTTTACTTCATTTGATTGATTGATTGATTTGATTGATTGATATGCTTTATTGTCCAAAGAGTATAATATCTTATTGACAAAGTTACAATTTCCTAAAACTACAAATATATAATATCTATGTATTTTTTTAAACACAGTGTCACACATCCATATACACAATAAAAATTATAATTATTATCACAGTGAAGAAAATAAAATAAAAGATACATCATCAATATCACAGATTAAAAACATTCTCCAAAAAATTCTTGCAGACTATAAAACGGTCTTTCACTGAGGAATTCTTTCACGGCCTTTCTGAAATGAGCATTATCCGTGGTTTTCAGATAATTTGGTAGGTGATTATACATTTTTAGACCATTGTATATGACTGAGTCCTTAACGAGGGTTGAGGTGGGTATAGGCAGTTTGAGGTGATTTGTTTGGCGTGTAATATAATGAGAATTTGAACTCGAAAATGTCTTTTTATGTTTATTGATAAGGCAAACCGTTTCTAATATGAAAATGGCATAAAGCGTCAGGATTTTATCTTTAATGAATAAAGGTTTGCAAGAGACTCGTGGTTTGACCTTATTTAAGTATCTTATCGCTCTCTTTTGTAAAATAAAAACTGGCTTCAAATGAGTATCAGCACAAACTCCCCAGAAAGGTATTCCATATCTCAAGTGTGATTCTATCAATGAAAAATATACAGTTTTTGCTGCAGAAGATCCTAGTTCACTAGAGGTTATCCTAACAGCATAACAACCGGAAGACAGTTTTTTATTGAGCGTTGCAATATGGTCTTCGAATTTCAGTTTATTGTCTATTGATACCCCAAGAAATTTTGTGTATATTTTGTTCGTGATCACACTGTCATTCGTGCCTAAAGGTATGTCGTCTATACTACAACGGAAGGATACTACATTGGTTTTGGATATATTGAATGATAAAAGATTACAATCACACCACTCTTTGATCTTTTGAATGTCTGAACAAATGGAATTATGAAGATCGCTTGCATTATTTGCACGCCATAGTATTGTAGTATCGTCCGCGAATAGAGTGAATCTTCCTTTTATATCAATAGATGCCAGATCATTAATGTATAACAAAAAAAGCATCGGTCCCAGTACTGATCCTTGAGGTACTCCAGTATCGATTTCAGCTACATCCGACTGAGTAGTAGTTTTAACAATTTGGCTTCTACCTGTTATGTATGATTTGAACCATTTGTGAGTGTTCTCATGGATACCATAGTGGCGAAGTTTATTAAGCAGTATTTCGTGATTTACGCAATCGAATGCTTTGGAGAAATCACAAAATACAGCTGCTACTACTTCTCGGAGTTATTTGGCTAGAATAACATAAATTAGACGCATTCCAGATATTGAAAATTAATTGATTGTGATCTCCCGGAGACAAGTTCTTCAATGAACTTAGTCGGGTATCCCCTTCTGTTTATTTACTGTCTGTTCATGTCAACTGAGTTGGGTTTTATTATTTCACCTAGACATATGCCACAGGATGTTACCCATTTTTTGTAAAAATTATTCTTGTAAATAAACACTCATTCATTCATTCATTCATTCATTCATTCATTCATTCATTCATTCATTCATTCATTCATTCATTCATCCAAAGGAGGAAAAAGGTGTATTGCATAGAAAAAGTACAACAAGAAATAAGTGTGATACGAATACGGAGAATCATACACTGGCAGTCGCAATAAAATCTACACTAGCCTACCATATACCCTACACTTAATTAATAATAATAATAATAATAATAATAATAATAATAATAAACGTCTTTATTACTCACAAAAAATTAATTAGCTCAACAATAATGATAATGATAATGATAATGTAATACTAACAATATAATGATACTAATAATTATTGCTGATTGGGGGTAAAACGCGAAGTTCAGTTTAGGCCAGCCACCAAAACTCAAGCCTGTATCTTCTCTAGAAAGGCGGAACTCAGTATGCCCGATATTGTTATGTCTGGCACCACCATCCCCACACCAAGCCCACCATATCTATGCTCGTTATTTTCATCAGCAACACTCTTTCATAGGATAATCATGTCAGATCCATCGCAAAAGCTGCTTCACAAAAACTCGGATTCTTGTTCCGTGAGAAAAGCTACTTTACACCTCAACAGCTTCTCATGATCTACAAAGCGCAGATACGGCCTGTTCTAGAATACTTTTCCCACATATGGGGTTCAGCACCAAAACATACGCTGATGCTCTTAGATTCCATCCAGAGCCATTCGCCTTGTGGGTGACGCCACACTAACTCACTCTTTGACATCATTGGAACACCGTAGAAAGGTCGGCGACCTTTCACTTTTCTATCGATACTTCCACGGGAAATGTTCTTCGGAAATCTCTGCTATCATCCCTTCACTAGCAATACCAATGAGACGAACTAGACAAGTCCAGTCAGCACATCCTTTCGTTGTCAACCTCGAAAGATGTCTAACAGCACTTTATCAAGACTCCTTCATCCATAGAACGGCTAGACTCTGGAATTTATTGCCTGTGGAAGTATTCCCAACAACATATAGCCTCCAAAAGTTCAAAAAAAAATTCCAATACCTATCTCCTGTCCCTATCCTCCCTAGGAACGCACGATGTTCTTTGAACATTATAGGGATTTCCTTTCGTGCGCTCCAAGCGAAAAAAAAAAATTAGGTGGGAATAACAAGTCACCACATAAACTTGTTCTTCCACTTGACCTTGGATCGTCTCTTTGCCTATTAATATCGAAACTACATGTTTTTTTTATGAAGCATCAAAATGTATTGCTGTCAGTGTGATGTCAATCCAGAAAAGATTAGTATCAGTTCGTTTAAATTTGGTGAGAGGAGGGAAATTCATGCAGATAATCACTATTATATTTATTTTAAAATCTATCTTCTACACTGGAGCTGGAACAGATATTGCTTATAGCTCTTATTAAATTTCAATAGACTTCCATCTTTAATCACCTGAGGGATATATATTTTACATATCTGACAAGAAAATTACTCCATAAACAAGACACACAAAGTCATCTCCACAAATTTATTGACTGAGTAATCAGTATCTGTACATGTTTCGGACTATCAATAGTCCATCATCAGCACCATATTTTAATTGACAATTTTGTGGAAATGAAAAAAAGAGAAGTTAATAAAATTATTGCATGATGATTAACTTCTCCTTTTTTCATTTCCACAAAATTGTCAATTAAAATATGGTGCTGATGATGGACTATTGATAGTCCGAAACATGTACAGATACTGATTACTTAGTCAATAAATTTGTGGAGATGACTTTGTGTGTCTTGTTTATGAATCTATTCACTCCACTTTGAGATACCATGGACTTTTACCATAGATTAAGAAAATTACTGTTTGAAATAGTGTAATCTGAAATTGGGTGGTGACAAAGTGCCTTCAAATATGATATTCACATTGTGGACATCAGACCGAAATTTTACTTTTCTGTAAAGATACGAGGGTGTTTTGTTTACAATAAGTTGGTGGTAAAGGTAGGCACTGTGCAGAATCCATCTATTTTCCATATTCAACCAACCAGCTTCAGATAGTTTATATGTGACCCTTTGACGTTCACGTATACCATATATTAATCTTAAGCAAGAGCTTTGAACCTTCTGAATCTTGTTCTTGTACTGGTTCGTTAAATTTTGACCATACAGAGTATCAGCATAGTTGAAAATTGATAACACCAGTGTTTCACACAAGGTAACTTTGACTTTGGATAACAATACAGAATATCGAAAAATATCCATATTTTACATCCTGTATACGGGAGGTCAGAAATTCCAAAACCATTCCGAGGTATTTACTTGGAGATTTGAGAGAGTTGATTTGCAGAAGGATGAAAAAATTCCTCGGGTATACGGGAGCTCCTAAACTTTTTCGATTATGTAACACTCTTTTTGACCACTTGGTATGTCCTAACTGGAAAGTATTGAACAATGAATCTTGAACAGAAAGGACGCATCTTTTGGAAACTGCATTCGGATTGTAAATCGGTTGATTTGCAAAAAAGTTATCACATTTTGAAAAAAGGCCTTCAATTCGAGTGGTCCACTTGATTCTTCAAGTAATTTATGTATTAACAACTTGATTCAAAGCGCGACAAGAATTGAAAAAATCATGTGACCCAAATCGTCGCAACCCTACCATTTTCCGATCTGATTGCAGCCCGCTCACGTCAAGGCCTGCTTCCTGGGCTCGTCGCTCTCCATCCCCATCACCGAAGGCAAGCTCAACCTGGGCACGTGGCAGGGCATCTGGCTGTGCGAACACAGAGACCACGCTGGCTCGCGCAAGTTGCTCATCACCCTCAACGGCTGTCTGCGCGACAACCAGTGCACCCCGCTGTCCCCCGTCAGTCCCATGGCCAGCACGAGCAGCTAGGGAAAGCACTCGGGCCATTCGCTGTCCAAGCACTGAGAATGGCCCGAGTGAGAGGCGGGTAGCGGTCTTCGGCGGGCTCGAACCGAGGGAGGAGTATAACGACAATATGTACATACTGTACATTGTAATATACTTAATTTTGTAGGTAGGTGGGGGTATTGTTGTTGTGGAATAGGGTGTTTGTGTTTGGAAGAGCGTTCAATTGGAATCGATGTCAAGTAGTCCTTGCCAATGAAACAGTAGAAGTAAACGAACTGAGAGAGCTATCCTACTAGTTTTTCCTCATTTCTGAACATTTGTCACTGTCATTATTCCTATAAATGAATCTGGCAAGTCTGGCTCAAAGATGGATCAGTTGGAACTAGTCAAGAAAGCTCTCCTCACTTGACTTTTTTAAATTCATTGAGACTCCTCCAGGTTTCCTCTGCTCTTTTCTGAAATCTATATAAATCCATCTGAATTATTTGAATGAAGCACAAATCAGCCAAGCTGTCTCAAGATCTCAATGTTTTAATGCTCTTATCTTCCTAGAACCTGAAAAGAAAAATCATTGACACTTTTGGAAGAGAGATGATATAAGACAGAAAGTTAAAAATCTATAAAAAACATGTAACAACATCAAAAGTGCATTCTTTCCCAATGGCCTTATGGCTAGCACTAGCGGCTAGAGCAAGCATTCGGGCCATTCGCTGTCCAAGCACTGAGAATGGCCCGAGTGACAGGCGGGTAGCGGTCTTCGGCGGGTTCGAACCGAGGGAGGAGTATAACGACAATATGTACATACTGTACATTGTAATATACTTGATTTTGTAGGTAGGTGGGGGTATTGTTGTTGTGGAATAGGGTGTTTGTGTTTGGAAGAGCGTTCAACTGGAAACGATGTCAAGTAGTCCTTGCCAATGAAACAGTAGAAGTAAACGAACTGAGAGAGCTATCCTACTCGATTTTTCTTATTACTGAACATTTGTTACTGTTATCACTCCTATAAATGCATCTGGCAAGTCTGTCTGAAAGACAGATCATTTAGAACTAGTCAAGAAAACTCTCCTCAATTGAATGTTTCTAATTCATTAAGATTCCTCCGGGTTTCCTCTGCTTCTTTCTGAAAATTATAAATAATCATCTAAAATATTCCAATGAAGGGACAACTCAGTCCATCTGTCTCAAGATCTCATTCGTTAATAAATTCATCTTCCATGAACCTGAACGAGAAATTCATCGCTAAGAATAATTGACACCTTGTGAAAGAAATATGATGACAGAAAGTTGAAAATCTATAAAAAACATGTTACTTCATCAAAGGTTCATTCTTTTCCAATGGCCTTATGGCTTGCACGAGCAGCTAGGAAAATAACTCGGGCCATTCGCTGTCCAAGCACTGAGAATGGCCCGAGTGAGAGGCGGGTAGCGGTCTTCGGCGGGTTCGAACCGAGGGAGGAGTATAACGACAATATGTACATACTGTACATTGTAATATACTTAATTTTGTAGGTAGGTGGGGGTATTGTTGTTGTGGAATAGGGTGTTCGTGTTTGGAAGGGCGTTCAACTGGAAACGATGTCAAGTAGTCCTTGCCAATGAAACAGTAGAAGTAAACGAACTGAGAGAGATATCCTACTAGTTTTTCCTCGTTACTGAAGATTTGTTACTGTTATCACTCCTATAAATGCATCTGTCAAGTCTGGCTGCAAGACAGATCATTTAGAACTAGTAAAGAAAACTCTACTCACTTGACTTTTTTAATTCAGTAAGATTCCTCCGGGTTTCCTCTGCTTCTTTCTGAAAATTATAAATAATCATCTAAAATATTCCAATGAAGGGAAAACTCAGTCGATCTGTCTCAAGATCTCATTCGTTAATAAATTCATCTTCCATGAACCTGAACAAGAAATTCATCACTAAGAATAATTGACACCTTGTGAAAGAAATATGATGACAGAAAGTTGAAAATCTATGAAAAACGTGTAACTTCATCAAAGGTTCATTCTTTTCCGATGGCCTTATGGCTAGCACGAGCAGCTAGGAAAATAACTCGAGCCATTCGCTGTCCAAGCACTGAGAATGGCCCGAGTGAGAGGCAGGTAGCGGTCTTCGGCGGGTTCGAACCGAGGGAGGAGTATAACGACAATATGTACATACTGTACATTGTAATATACTTAATTTTGTAGGTAGGTGGGGGTATTGTTGTTGTGGAATAGGGTGTTTATGTTTGGAAGAGCGTTCAACTGGAAACGATATCAAGTAGTCCTTGCCAAAGAAACAGTAGAAGTAAACAAACTGAGAGAGATATCCTACTAGTTTTTCCTCATTACTGAAGATTTGTTCATGTTATCATTCCTATAAATGCATCTGGCAAGTCTGGCTCAAAGATAGATCAGTTGAAACTAGTCAAGAAAGCTCTCCCTACTTGACTTTCTTCAATTCATTAAGATTCCCCGGGGGTTCCTCTGCTCTTTTCTGAAATTTGTATAAATCCATCTGAATTATTTGAAAGAAGCACAAATCAGTCGAGCTGTCTCAAGATCTCAATGTGTTGATGAACGTATCTTGATAGAAGCTGAAAGAAAAATTAATCGCTAACAATCATTGACACCATGTGAAAGAGAGATGATATAAGACAGAAAGTTAAAATTCTATGAAAAACATGTAACATCATCAAAGGTTTATTCTTTCCCATTGTGTGAGAGGCGGGTAGCGGTCTTCGGCGGGCTCGAACCGAGGGAGGAGTATAACGACAATATGTACATAATGTACAGGGTGGCCAACTAAGAATCCAGAGTTCGATACCTCTGTTGTCATGAGAGATACAAAAAAAGTTTTGCATTCAAATTAAAGTGATAACCGAGCTTCACATTTCAAAATTTCTTTGAAATACACAGGGTGTTCCGTAAGCTCACAGCACATCAAAGCTATGTTTTTTTCATCGGAACACCCTATATTTTATTTCATTTTTAAATTCTCCCTGAAGATCTGATTTCAACGATGTATCATACTTAGGGTCTAGCAGTGAAAGTTACTGACATATAGGGTGAGCAAAATCGAGATTTTCCAAGTTCAGGATTTTTTTCTGTCGAAACTGTTCATTATTCGTCAAAACGGTTTACATGTCCCTATCTCAACTTTTCACTCACTATCAATTTGTGTTCAATTGAAATTGATACAAGGTGGTCAAAGATCTAAATTTATAAATTGTTTCACTTAAATGTCAATTGAACACCAATTGATAGTGAGTGAAAAGTTGAGATAGGGAGATGTGAACCGTTTTGACGAATAATGAACAGTTTCGACAGAAAAAAATCCTGAACTTGAAAAATCTCGATTTTGCACACCCTATATGTCAGTAACTTTCACTGCTAGACTCTAAGTATGATGGATCGTTGAAATCAGATCTTCAGGGAGAATTCAAAAATGAAATAAAATATAGGGTGTTCCAATGAAAAAAACATAGCTTTGATGTGCTGTGACCTTACGGAACACCCTGTGTATTTCAAAGAAATTTTGAAATGTGAAGCTCGGTTATTACTTCAATTTTGATTCATGATTTTTTATTATATCTCTGAAGACAACAGAGAAATCGAACTCTGGAGTCTTAGTTGGCCACCCTGTACATTGTAATATACTTAATTTTGTAGGTAGGTGGGGGTATTGTTGTTGTGGAATAGGGTGTTTGTGTTTGGAAGGGCGTTCAACTGGAAACGATGTCAAGTAGTCCTTGCCAATGAAACAGTAGAAGTAAATGAACTGAGAGAGATATCCTACTAGTTTTTCCTCATTACTGAAGATTTGTTCATGTTATCATTCCTATAAATGCATCTGGCAAGTCTGGCTCAAAGATAGATCACTTGAAACTAGTCAAGAAAGCTCTCCTTACTTCACTTTCTTCAATTCATTAAGATTCCCCGGGGTTTCCTCTGCTCTTTTCTGAAATGTATATAAATCCATCTGACTTATTTGAATGAAGCACAAATCAGTCGATCTGTGTCAAGATCTCAACGTGTTTATGCACTTATCTTTCTAGAATTTGATGGAAAAATTAATTGCTAACAATCATTGACACCTTGTGGAAGAAAGATGATATAGCTCAGAAAGTTAAAAATCTATGAAAAACATGTAACAACATCAATGGCTATTTCTTTCCCAATGGCCTTATGGCTAGCACTAGCAGCTAGGGCAAGCACTCGGGCCATTCGCTGTCCAAGTACTGGGAATTGCCCGAGTGAGAGGCGGGTAGCGGTCTTCGGCGGGCTCGAACCGAGGGAGGAGTATAACGACAATATGTACATACTGTACATTGTAATATACTTAATTTTGTAGGTAGGTGGGGTATTGTTGTTGTGGAATAGGGTGTTTGTGTTTGCAAGAGCGTTCAACTGTTAACAAGTCGGTTAGTCCTTGCCATTGAAACAGTAGAAGTAAACGAACTGAGAGAGCTATCCTACTCGATTTTCCTTATTACTGAACATTTGTTACTGTTATCACTCCTAGAAATGCATCTGGCAAGTCTGACTGGAAGACAGATCATTCAGAACTAGTCAATAAAACTCCTCACTTGAATTTTTTTAATTCATTAAGATTCCTCCGGGTTTTCTCTGCTTCTTTCTGAAAATTATAAATAATCATCTAAAATATTCCAATGAAGGGACAACTCAGTCGATCTGTCTCAAGATCTCATTCTTTAATAAATTCATCTTCCATGAACCTGAACGAGAAATTCATCGCTATGAATAATTGACACCTTTCGAAAGAAATATGATATGACAGAAAGTTGAAAATCTATGAAAAACATGTAACTTCATCAAAGGTTCATTCTTTTCCAATTGCCTTATGGCTAGCACGAGCAGCTAGGAAAATAACTCGGGCCATTCGCTGTCCAAGCACTGAGAATGGCCCGAGTGAGAGGCGAGTAGCGGTCTTCGGCGGGCTCGAACCGAGGGAAGGAGTATAACGACAATATGTACATACTGTACATTGTAATATACTTAATTTTGTAGGTAGGTGGGGGATTGTTGTTGTGGAACAGGGTGTTCGTGTTTGAAAGGGCGTTCAACTGGAATCGATGTCAAGTAGTCCATTTTCCTGTGAATAGTAATTATATTAATTCACACTAGAGGACATTTGAAGCGATGAACGTGACAACACGGCGCGCACGACTTGTGGGCGTGGTCTTGTCCCTTTTCTGGAGTCAGCACAATGTTGCCAAGCCAACATTTACGTGATATTTTGGTATAGAGTTTAAGAAATATTTGGACATGCTGGTTGCTCGCAAAAGTCATGAATGAGCTATAATATCATGGGTTCCTCCTATTATGTTTTATTCAACGACAGGACTCTTATTACATCT